CCTGAGAAACTGTAACGGCAAGATCATGGTTTGGTCAAGACATCCTGCACAGGTCACCCTCTGAGGTGATAACCTGGAAGAAGCCTAAGACTAAACAACAAGGCAATATTGAACCTGTCAAACAGTTCAGTTTTGCATTTTGTTGGAATCTTTCACGTAACTGGAGAAAAATCTAATGGAATACCAGGCAGCCAGGGCAATAACAAGATAGGTTTCACCAACATCCCTCCACGTTTAAGCATGCTCAATGTTGGGTTTCTCCCTCTCTGCTGTTCCAGAAATGGCCACAGACTGTCATGAACTGTTCCTGAGAGGAGAGACCACCAGCGGGGTCTACCCCATCCAGCCAACTGACTCTGAGCCCTTTGACGTCTTCTGTGAGATGACAACTGGTGAGCTCAGCAGAACTTCCTCTGAGTGCTAAGTCTGTCTCCTGGCTCATGTAACATTTGTTTGATCAATTTCTCTATGTTTCTCTGCCCAGATGGTGGATGGACAGTCATCCAAAGACGCCAAGATGGCTCCGTGGACTTTGACCAGCTGTGGCAGGCTTACGAAAAAGGCTTTGGCAGCCTGAATGGTAAATACTCTTTGGGGTTTTATCCACTTTCACTATCCAGTGTTAGCTGGTCAGTGCGGGGTCAGGATGGTTGCCTTTCAGTTCCTTTGTAAGCCTTCAGTACCTCCTGGCACTAAGAATGAAGTCATTGAAAGATGTGGGAAGTTAAGACAACAGATGTCAGGATCATGAGCTTTGGGTTGTTTTGGACTAAGTTTTGTTCTCTGTTCCTGTTCAGGAGAGTTCTGGTTGGGCTTGGAAAACATCCATGCCATCGCCAAAGATGGCAGCTATACCCTCAACATTAAATTCTCAGACTGGGGGGATGACTCGGCATCTGTCCGCTTCCCGTTTGAACTTGGTGGAAAAGAAACCAACTACTCACTCCTGATTCAGGAACCTGGCACCACCGATACGCTAGAGAGTTCCCTGACCACCGACTTGGCTCTCTCTTTGCCGTTCTCAACCCGGGACCAAGACAATGATCGTAAAGGTGACATTAACTGTGCCAAACACCTCTCTGGTAAGTACTGGCACACTGTCCTGTCACACCGACAAGACTGAAGCATGCTAATCAAGCTGATTCTGTCTTTGAAGGTGGTTGGTGGTTCAGTAACTGTGGTCGCTCCAACCTAAATGGGAGATATTTCCAGAGCCCTCCTCCTAAACAGAGACACCAAAGGAAGCAAGGCATTTTCTGGAAGACCTGGAGGGGGCGCTACTATCCCCTGAAGTCAAGCATAATGATGATTGCTCCCGCCACCATCAACAAGTCTTAAAGAGCTGAAAGAGACAAAGAGGGAGAAAGAAGCAGAGTCTTAACTGTCTGTTCTTTATTCTTCGCTGGTTTTTGTGGCAGACACGTCCAACTTTTGGGTTTGTTCTTTGTGAGGGGGAAACCTGACACCAGAGTCACAGTCCTGAAAGCAGAAGGACAAAGTCAGATGAAAAGAGTTTTCTTGGTCTGTTGTGTGAAAAGACAGATTCATTATTGCTATGTGAAGCCACAGCCAGTAACTGAGTCCAAAGCCAAATGTGCAGTGGAAAATTTCTCTATGTTTTCCCGATGAGGTTTCATCCTGTAGATGCGAGCAAGTCTCTGCCTGTGGACTGGGCTGGGAGTCATCACGCATTTTCCAACAAGCTCAGACGCCTTACTGGGGATGATGTGGCTTCGTGCTGAGGTTTGGTGATTAGCAAACCTGACTGTTGGCATCACATCAGCTGCAGATCGATTGTTTTTGTGCAGGGCATTTACACTAGTGACATGCTGAGTCAGCAAACTCTTAAAACCACAAGTTGTGGATCAAATAACCATCTAAAACATAAACAGCAGATTTCAGCATGATGAGGCTGGAGTTTGGTAATGGGGTGAACTGTTGTCAGTTAGCTTTACGCTACGTTAGCATCGATATTACTCACCTTTCCTGCCTTTCTTACCACATACTAGATGTTCTATAGTCAGAATCGACTGAAAGTCTTCTTCACTGATATTGTTTTTTCTCTGGAGGGTTTGATATTTAGTCATATTGACTAGTTCTTCAATAAATGGCATTGTTTTGTACATATTTGGAAAAAGGTCAGTTTTTTTAGTAAGGTATCTGTTTCTGATCTTTGCCAGTTGACTTCAAAGTTTGATGTTTTAAGTATATTTTTCTTATTTAAAAACCATTTATCTATTATGTGCTGCTTTCTGTCTGTAATTTATATTAAGGTATTTTTTGGGGGGAAGTGGGGATGGGGTAGAAGAAAAATGACCATTTTGGCCTCATTGAGCCAATAAAACTGATTTAAACAAATATTTGTTTTGGGTATTCATTCAATATTCATCTCTGTCAACATCATGATGATATTCACCAGTCATAGGGGTGTTCCAGCATCTCACAATGCGTGATAGACATGAGCTCTGGTGGTTTGGGGTTGTTCTTCATCTATTTAACCCAGTGTTGAAAATCCTTGGGAGCCACAAAAAGTTTAGCAAAAGTCAATGTTTAAAAGTTCAAGTTAAACAAATCTCCAGATTTGTGAATTGTATTTAACTGCTGGGCCAGATTTTAGAAAGAGCTTACTGGGGAAATCATCCAGGGCCCCAATTTGAATTAATTTTGTTTTTAATGAATGTGTGTTTTGCAAAAATTGTACTTCACATAAAACTTGTAGGCCCAAATTAAGTTAGGTGAATTCTATACATATTTTTTTTAGATTTTTAAGAATATAAAAAAAAAAATTCAAGCATTGCAAAAATTATAAAATTGTCAATTTTTTGGGAAACAACATGGAGGCATTGGCTGTTAACCTGCTCATTGTAGATCCAAACACACACACACACACACACATTATACATATATACACCTGCATACACACTCACACAGTAGGTTTGTCTATCTTTACAGGAATGTTCCATTGACTTCTATTCATTTCTCATTCATTTCTACAGCCAAACTCTGACACTTACCCTAAACCAAACCTGAACTCAATTCACACCTCAGTCCTAAACCGCCAACCCCAAAACAGCACCACTTCTTATGGGGTCTAGCATAAGGACTAGTGGGTCTTCACATGGGCCTTACACTGTATCAAATATGTATAGGTCACACACACATCCACCCATATATACATATACACACACCCCGGGAAAAAAATGACCACAGTTCTGCTAACCACTGAAAGACCAGACATAAAGGAAACGAACACTTCCATGTGCCTGACTCTGTGGTTCAGCTAAACTTGCCCTTATCAATACATGTAACATCAATACAATAAATAGCCAGAAGCATTGAACAGCCAACTGATTTATTCTACACTCAATAGTTTATATTATGAAGACCACAAATATCAATGACTGTTTCATTCTCTTGTTTTGGTTTGTTTTTATTTGACATCAAAATAATTATTTTGTCAAAGTACTGACAGGATTAGATTTTCTCACATTTTATGCTGTATATTTTTTTTTTTCTTCCACATATGCTTGCATGTCACTCAGCCTCACCTGGCAGGTGTCTTGCATATTAAGGATTACGGCTGCATGTCATTTTATCTGGAAGCAAACTAAAGCTTTAAGGTGTCAGCTTTAATTTTCAGCGCTACACTTTGCACTTCTTTGCCCGGCTTAGTTCATTTGGTTTATCCACTGTGATCCTCCAGGTCACAGGATCAACCTGTGTCACCACTCATCCGAAGAAGCCAGCGCCCAGCCAACCTTAAGATCGAGACGGATCAGGCCTCCATCTTAAAGTTAGAGGGTCCAACGGATCACTTCAAAATCTATTTATAGCAGCTTCTGATCTGCTACCTACAATGGTAGTTAGCAGAACTCTATGGAGATCTCGGTGTCATGATCTTAGGATAGATGCTTCAGTTCTGTCCTGAATCCATGCTAAGCTAACTAGCAGTTAACTTAGTATGACTCTCCCTGGATTTGTTTGGGCTTTTTCTCCCTGACACACTGTATCTTTATAATGAAAAAACAATTTGTAGTATTAAACAATTAGGTGGAATTGTCCTTTAGCCATTTCCAGAATCAGAAGCTGCAATCGGAAACCAACTTCAGCCTCGTTTCTCTGGATGAGTTGTCAGTGTTCTCTCTGGGAATAGGAAGGCCACGTCTGGTTGGGTTGGTTACAGTTCCATGTTTTCTCTGTTTGTGATGACATTCAGTGGTGAACAGAGTCCAAAAGCCTGTGTAACCTTTTCCAGTCTGATAAATGTCTGTGACTTTGTTAATCATCTGTTCATGAATTTCTTCACTGAGGGACACAATGTTTCTTTAGCCTACTTCCTGATGCCAGACAGGCGCCGTCTAAGACAGTGATGAATCACAGCTCTGGCAGTAATAATTCCTCAGAGCAGATTGGGAAAGTTAATTCATTTCAAATATTTGGTTCAATGTTGGGAATTGACTATTTAATAAGGGTGGTGATTTTTTTTATGTACTTTGTACAGAAATTGTATGATTTGTTGTAAAATTTTAACAGTAAAGATATGTATTGAAAATATACACGTTTATACAAAATTTTATACAAAGTTGTATAAAAATGAAAACATTTCAAAACTGTTTTAAATAACCATCTGTGTAATTTATATAATGTATTTTATTTGACTTAGTAAAAGTTTCTGAAATAGTCTTTTCAATAACATTTGTTAATTGCCATCCTCTGCAATACAATGATCCCAATCAATCTTAGACACAAGTTTAGCTCTAAACACCACTAAAGCATGGGTGAACGTATTTGTCCTGTTTCTTTTAATTTATGCTAAATCATAACGCTGTACAATCTCACCATTAGATTTTAATTAACTGTAGAATCTGGTACATGATTTTTTCTATCTGCTGATACACACAATAAAACCCAGTAACTGGTTTCCAAAGAACTTGCAGGTCACTTCCTGCCCAGCCGCAGTCTGAACCAGGCTGAACTAGAGCACACAACCAGAGACCATGTGACCCATTCATTCATTTATTCATCGTCATGTACAAACTGGATTTCAGGTGGTACAAAGCTGCTGTAAGACTCTGCTGCCCTCCCTCCTGTTGTCTTTATTGCAGTAAAAAAAAAAAAAAAAAAAAAAAAAAAAAACCAGCATGATCAAGAGTCAAGAGGTACTTTTGGCAAATATAAATTATATATAGAGAAGGCAAGCAGACATCTTTAGCAACATAATGTGAGGAGACAAAGGTATCAACGAGTAGCTTCCATCAGTTGGCAGTTAGAAAAAAAAGAATAAAAATTCATAAAAATATTTTATTCTAAATAACAAATAGTTAAAACAGGTGGACACAGGAAGAGCATCGATCTTCTTCTTTTCTCTGGTGTTATTGAGACTGCATGTTCCTTAGTCAAAATGAGTGTGTGTATGTGGAAAAGGAAGTGGGATGTGTGTATGTGCGGTGTGAGAGTTCATGCCAGTAAATACTTGTAGAGATTCCATTTGCATCCCACTTCCTACTGCTGAGCGGGGGCGGGGGAAAAAAACCACGTTGGGCTGGGAAATGTGACTTAGTGTGACCCAAATTGCTGATTGTTCTACTTGAAGGTTGGACTAGACGCTCAGTCCTACTGGCACAGGAGGACAGGGGAGAAAAACAGTAGAGGTGCAGAATGAAACAACATGAGAAACATGGCTGCTGCTGCTGATGCTGTGTGACAAACTGGCAACAGGAGGACACAGAAAATAAAGACCGGGTGATCTGGAGGCCCCCACTCTGGCTTTAGAGGTATTGTTGTAGAAAGTGCAGCAGCATGATCTCGTAGTGCTCCCCAGACTCAGGGCAGCGAATGCTGTGCCGCTCGTTGGGGTAGACCTGTAATAATGAAGCAGAGTGACGAGAACACTGAGAATTTCACCTCAGCAACACAGACACAGCAAAGCAGAGCTGCATTTGTTAAACAAATACAAGCAATAAATACAGTGAAGCCCAAGTTCAGTTGATCAAAAAGTTAGAATATTACTAGTATTTTAAAAATTTAATCACACTCTGGCACTGTGACTAATCATAATATTTAACTTTATAAGTCTGAAATATAAATATGCACACAGTTGTGCTCCTCCTGCCGCTCTCCAACCAATTAAAATGCAAGAAATTATCTGATTTCTTTTTTTGTAGCAGAAAACAGATAATGTGGTCTGTCAGTATTCAAAAGCAACTAATGGAAACTTACTTCACCACACATGGATACAAGCAGTAGAAAACATGCTCAGAATGACAGATAAGATACATTTTACCTCCAATTCCTGGGTGCCCCACCTCTTCCTAATGGGCACCCTGGGCAACTGTTCATATAACCCACATCAAACTGCTGCTTTATGCACGTTTTCAAAAAATGTTTTATCATCTCAAACCAAAACATGTCTGAAGATTCTCAGTTTTCCAGGTTTTTATATTCATGAATGTTTAAAGGAAGTCAGGAACGACTTCTTGACTTCCTTTTATCATCTCAAACCAAAACATGTCTGAAGATTCTCAGTTTTCTAGGTTTTTATATTCATGAATGTTTAGAGGAAGTCATGTTGTTTTAGATGTTCATGTAGAAACGTTCCTTTCTCATCACTCTCTATGGAACTTGTGTGACGAGGCGACAGTCTCTGGTCCTCACCCAGCTGAGTGACCACCATATCTGCTGCATGAGAAATGTAGAGCTACTACATGTAGATGTGAACATGCAGGCTGGTGACGCAATAAAAGAAAGTTGAAAAATGTTCAACTGTTGTTTTTGACAGCTGTCACAGAAAACTTTGCTGTTTGTCGCTCACAGTGCATCTTGTCCAATAATCCATTGCTGTGAACGAGGTAACCCTCAGTGGGAGAGAGGCTTTTAAGTCATAATAGGTAGTTTGTTATGTAATATTAACGTTAAAATATTCAGATAAATCACTTGTGTTTGCATTTACAGCCCTAAATTTGACATAAACAGATAAAAGGATTTCTGACCCACAAATATTACAGTTCGGTGGCCTGCACAGTTATTAGGACGTGGCCAGCAGAAGCTCATTTGCATAATGATGATGTAGAGCTAAGACATAGCATTCCTTACTGGGTCAAGGCAAAACTGATCGGGTCAAATCTCAATATCTGACAATGATTTTATGTATTAAATGTAATGAACATGTTTTGTATAGGCCACAGACGTATCCTCACTTGTCTAAGGAAGCATAATAATGGACCTTTGAAATCCTCTCTCATCAGTCTCATGCAGTGTTCATTTTGTTAAGGAATGAAAACAAGGCAAAACAATGCAGAGAGATAACCTCTGACCTCTAACACCAATCATGTGGAAAAGCAGGACGAGTTGAGAAATCAGCCAATGAGACGTGATCTAAAGTTGTTTCAAATAACGAAAATCTCTTTTTGTATTGCAACAAAACAAATTGTTTTTTGTTCATATTATTGGTTTTTGGGATTTTCTGCCAATTTTATAATTTTTTTATTATTTTTTACCAAACTTAATTTTATTTTTTGCTTTATCATTTATCCACGTGTGATGTCGTGAAGAATTGGTCAGCTAAGGTAGTTGTAAATGTGCTATACAAACAATATTGTGGATTTTTATTTGCTGTAAGCCATAGAGATCTAAATGAACACATGACACCGACCTGAAGCTGGTAGGGCTTCCCAGCTCGGATTATCTGGGATACCAGGAAGTTGGTGTGAAAAAAGTGCACATTCTCATCTAAAAAGCCGTGGAGGATCAGCAAACGGTTGGGCCTGTGAGAAAAAGCAGGTTAAGATGAGCAGGTTCCACAGGGTGTGCTGGATGTTGGGTCCTAAGAGACTCACAGAGACGTCTCAGAATAGTTCAAATACTTCATTCTGACTTTAATATTAGAGAGCAGTGCTCTGACATGTCTGTCAGATCACACTCCTTTAAGCTCCAAGTAAAAAAAATCCTGTTCTAGCCTGGTTTGTCTCTAATATTACATATTTCTAATGTAGTTAACTGGTGAAATAATTAAACAAAAATAATTTCAAAATCCTGCACTTCAAGCTGCTAATAGTTTCATTTGATATTTTCAGCTCTTTTAACTCTAAAATAATCTGGACTGAAGATAGAGATCTAGGAGAAGGTAAATGTTCCAACTGTCTTTTCTGCATGCATTTTAAAAGCATAAATCACATTTCAAAACAAGCATCCTGCAGTCAAGAACTATCATGTAGAACATCTCTGTGTTAAATCAGGGCAGGCAGACGGTGTGTGATGTACTGACTCGCTAGGCAGCTTGTCCACATGCAGAGCCACTGAGCCCTCTTCATAGCCCTGCTGGTTGTTCTCAGGCACATCCATGTAGCGCTCAGTGTAGCCCGTGTCGTAGGCCATCCACACGGTCACCGGGGCGCCAGCGATAGCCAACTGCAGCAAAACGAAAAGGAATCTAGCATCAAACGCTTGTTTAGTTAGGAAAACATCTTGAAATCAGCTGTGTGTGTTAACAGAGCAACATTTGTAGGAAGAGAAACTGGGTTCATCACTTTAAATCCACATTTAAAAAAAACTCAACTTACAGATCTGAAAATAACAAGCTTAGAAAAGAACTATTGGCAATTCTCTAATTCAAGCTGATGACCATTTACTGCTCAACACTGACACCATGTGGCTGGAGAGAGCAGCCTCAATACACACAATGGAAGCTAATCATCAGCTAATTTAGTACCCAAGTCATCGTTACCTGGAGTATACTGACTCAAAAAAGGCCATTTGCTGAAAGAACACACTCAGAACTGAAAGTAAAAAATATCTAAAAAAAAAAACATTTACATTTTGCATTTAAAAAAAAACAAACACTTTTTCTTCTTTGAATCAACGATTAGCAAACACCAGGTGGAACTGTGCATCTTCTGAGTTTATTATATGAATTATTTCTCAGTCTAGTGCTCCCATGAACATTTGAAAACACTTAATAGAGGAATGTTGATGTGATGACTTCCTAAAGGCAGGTATTGGACAGAGCAGGAGCTTCTTAAAGAGACAGAGGCCCAATTCAAGGCATTAAATTGCGAAGTCTGATTATAATTTTTTTAAGATTTTATCAGTTGAAATGGCCTGTATTTTTTATTTGATAGTGGTCAGACAGGAACTGGGTTGATAGAGAAGGGGAAGACATACAGCAAAGGTCATGGATCTGGGGCTGGGACTCGAACCTGCGTCAGGGACTGAGACCTCCGTATATGGGTTGAGCGCCCCTTCAGCACCCCAAGTACAAAGTCTAATTTCTTTTAAGTCAAGCTTGATATGACATAATTACTTGATTGTGCTATAAAATATACTATACAACTGGAAAACACATAATACTGTCCCTTTAAGAAAAGGAATTTAATCATCTGTCCATTTCTAATACTGCATGAAATAGGTTTAAATGGTTAAATTAAAAAAGATTTTAAAAATCAGCAGAATGAGACAAGATTTTATCCGACTGTCAGAATAATTGATAGAATACTTGATTACTAAAATAATTATTTGTTGCAGCCATAGAGTATATAGAATATAATATAAATTCACAATAAATACATTGAAGTTTGTGGTTGTAACATGACAAAATGTTAAAAATTGCAGTGGGTATGAAAACTAAAATGTGGTTTCAACAATTAGCACCAAGAGACAGAAGTAACAGTGCTAACATCAAAACAGAAACTCTTTCAGGAACAAGACCTGCTAACCTTGAAGATGTTGGGTCGTTGGATGAGGCCCATCAGAGAGAGAAAGCCGCCATACGACCAACCATGAATGGCAACACGACTCAGGTCTACAAAGTTAAACTTCTCAGCCACGTACTGCAGACCCTCCACCTGGTCCTCTATCTCCACCTGACCCTGGACAGTTCAAGTTGAGTGGTTTATTGCAGCTTTGTTTTCAGTTCAAACAGTTGCATTTATATTCAAGTTTGGTGTCGGTATCTCACTCTACCATTTTGTTTTTCAGAGCTCCTTCAAATTCCAGGCCCCTCTGACAGGAGCCCCTCCCATCAATAACAACCACAGCATAGCCAAGAGAAGCCAGCGTGTTGAGACGGAGGTACTTCATCCCCTTGAAAGAGTTGTTAACCAGCTGCACCTGAACACAACCAATCACAGACATTCTGGAAATGAATTCCCCATTTTCTTAGTCGTCTTAACGTGATCGCGCCTACAAACCTGAGGGCCACCATACACGAACAGAACAGTTGGGTGTTTTCTGCCAGGCTGCAGGTTGTGAGGTTTGTACACCATCCCATACAGCTGGAAGCCTGACTTCCCCGGAAAGTCAAAAATCTCCGGTGGGTTGTAATCTCCAGGGCAACCTGGAAGCAGGGACGGAGCATCCCAATTAGGACATTCCTAATAACAGTGGCATTTCTTTTAACATGAAAATCTCACTGAAGTTTGGATAACACTAGTAACTTCATTTCTTCTGCAACAATCAGAAGAAATGAAGCTAGTGAACAGATCTGGTTTGCTTTTGCTATGATGCTGCTCTGTACCTGGTGGCTCCATCAAGCTGGCCCAGAACTCTGGAACCACTCGGAGGGGGTCATCTTCTAAGCTGGTCAACTTGTACAAGTGAACACATGGAGGTGTGCTCACGTTACTGTAGTGGCTCACGAAAAAGTCAAAGTTCTGACAGGGGAGAGAGAAAACATCAGAGAGGCAGTGACATTAGTAATGAGAAGGCTGGTTGGTATGGAGTGGAAGCCAGAGCAGTGGCATGAGCAAAAATCTCAGAGTGCAAATAAAGACAGAAGTGGAAGAGTACCTGACTAACAGAGCAGCAGTGAGAGAATCCAGGTTTGGTTAGTCTGACCACGTCGCCTGGAGACTCATAGCTGACCACATACAGGTGGTGCTCCAACGGCGTGTCCCTGGTGCCCTGGAAATATACCAGCTTGGTTCCTTCATTCACCCAGATCTAATAAGAGAACATGGAGAGAAAGCTTAAAGCAGCAGAAAAAAGCAGCAAGCTCGAAAGAGTTAAGGGAATTATGAGACAGCCAATGGGAGGCACTCATAAAACATATAATCATCTAGAGCAGTGTTTCTCAACCCTGGTCATCACCGCCCCCCTGTCCTGCATGTTTTAGGTATTTCCCTTCTGCCACAGGCCTGAATTGTATCTCGGGGTGATTAACAGGCTTCTGCAGTACTTGATGGTCATGCAATCATTTGAATCAGCTGTTCTGGAATAGAGGAACATCTAAAAAATGCAGAGCAGGGGAGCAGTGAGGACCAGGGTGGAGAAACACTGTTCTAGAAGAACCCCACAAATATTAGGTTCTTATCTCTAAACCCACATGTTTAGAGTTGCTTTTGTACCATAACAAATGAAACACAGTAACACTTTATTTGAAGGTGTGTGCATAAGACTGACATGACACTGTCATAAACATGACATAACACCTGTTATGAACATGAAGGAGTTTTTATGAATGTTTACGACAGTTGTCATGAAGTGTCATTCAGTAAATAATGACAATTTAATGCAAAGTTGGCATTTTTAATGGACTTTCAATGCAACTTTTAGAGCAACTTTGCATTAAAAGTGTCAGTCTTATGCACACCCCTTCAAATAAAGTGTTACCGTTTTATTATACGTTAAAATCAGGAAGTCAGACTCCCAGAAGCATAGCACCCGGTTGAGAATTCTACACAGCTTTCCCTGAAGCGTTTACCTTTGAACCATGTCTGGACAGAACTTCCCATTCTCCGCTGGTCAACGTAACCTCCTCCTTGATTGCACATTTAAAATTTCCTGAAAAAAAGAAAAAAAAATCTGTTGACATAACTGAAGACGTTTTTTTTTGATGATCTATTTTTGAGTAATGCAGAAACATTTTCTCTCACCCTCCACATGATGGTATTCCTCTGCCCAGTGGTGGCAGCCTGGCTGTAACAGTGAGGTGATTTTATAGAGGTGGCTGAAGCCTGTTTTAGACTCATTTACCCAAATGAAAGTAAACTCATCTTCTGTTGTTTGAATAAAAGGATAGAATATATCATGAACCTGCCAAAATAAAGATAAAACTGTGTAAAACTATGAAAAGATTCCAATCATATGTCAATCGAGCAAAGTAGAAAATGTTTTCACATTTATCCAGACATCAGTGGTCTCCTCATAGATGATGTATGGCTGAGTGCAGCTGGGCACAGCCTCCAGACTGTCCTGCCTCAGGGTAGAGTCTTCTGTGATGGGGATGAAGAGCGCTGGAGGCAGCAGAACAAGCTGCAGCTTCTTCTGGCTGCGGTCCAACAGCACTGCCCAACCGCTGGCACCAAACACAGCACAGTTTTTATGCTGGGAGAAACTCTTAAGGCTGCAAGATGTAACTTTTAGAAAATTTTTGATATATATTTGTTGAAACTGTCACTATGTCGTCACGGTATAATACAAAATTGTAAATAATCTGTATAATCATAGTGACAGTTGACAGCTGGAGATAGGCACCAGCACCCCAATGGGATAAGGGTGTAAGAAAATGGATGGACGGATGGATAAAAAAGAAGAAAAGTTACATATTGCAGCTTTAAAGGAAACATCTTAAAACACAGCTAACGTCAATATAAAGTAAATTCCTCATTAGGGGTGCACCAATAAATCGGCCCTAATTTCCTTAATTTTGGATTATTGGTGATCGATCGATACATGTGAAACCGATATTACCCACCGATCTGAACTACCCACACAAAGATCTGAAAATCAGCCATAGTTTCTGTTAGCACAGCTGTAGAGAGCGCTAAATGTACATGGTTTTGCAAAGCACAGTATATTGGAATAGGACTCATCACACACAAACACTTTACTACCTTTCTTGGAATCATATAGAGATCAACACACCAAAACCTCTTCAATTCCACTTACTATTTTCCGTCTATCGTCCATCCTGCTCTGGCCATGTATTCTGTTCTAGGAAACAAGGTGCTAAATGGGACGACCAGCTCTTTATCTTGTGTGCTAATGATCTGAAGCACACCCATCCACCCATCCACACGCACGCACGCACACACACACACACACACACACACACACACACACA